AGATCAAACTTGTAGTTATTGAGGCAAACAACTATGGAAGAAGTTGTTTTCTCACCAAAAAGAAAAATCAAAGAGAAATAATATGAAAACTATGAAATAAGATAAAATGTGATGAAGAATGTCAGAGGAAACTCCCAAATTTTTTCTCCTTTTCATCATTTTTTTTGCTTCATGCCATTACCTTTGCTGCTCCCTCTTTTTTTTTTTCCAACCCTAAAAGATGAATATATAAGCCATGCAAATGCATGATGGCCCTCGATCAAATTCATCCGAAGGCTAATATTCTCCCTTAGTTTATTTTTCAAGCAATTACCTTTCACCCATTGATCAAGGCTTTTCAAAGATCAATGGTTCATGATAAATCCAGCACAAAATAAAGCTTTTAGTGTAGTTGGAACTATGTGAAATGATTAATTTGCCATTTTCAAAGTTTTGACCTTTTTATGTAATTTTCTTAGAAAACCATGATCCTTCATTTGTTATTGCAATTTTAAAGCACCAACAACCTTAAAATAATATAAAATTATGATCTAAAAGTTTTCATAAAAAAACAACATTAGGAAGATCAAATTACAAAAATACTCTTAAAGGATATTTTGGTAACTTCTCACCTTCCAAGGTGTGATTAAGGTTTTTAATGTACCAAAAATAATTTTAAAATATGATGTGAAGCATTTCATGAAAAAGGACCTTAGAAAGGTAAAATTACAAAAATATCCCTAAAAAGCATTTTAGTAATTTCATATCTTCTGATGTACGATCAAGGTTTTTAATATACTAAAAATCATTAAATAATACCAAATCATGATCTAGAGCTTTTTACAACCTTGGGAAAGTTAAATTACAAAAAAATTCCTAAGGGCATTTTAGTTATTTCACACCTCTCAAGATGTGATCAGGGTTTTTGATGCATTAAAAATTATAAAATAATGTTTAATTGTGATATAAAAGTTTTCATAAAAATTCAACTTTAAGAAGGTTAAATTACAAAAATACTCCTAAAGGGTATTTTGGTAATTTTATTTTTTCTAAATGCAATCAATGTTTTTAGTGCATTAAAAATCGCCAATTTTATTTTTTAGCCTTGTAAATCTTTTTTTGTTGTTAATTTTGAGAATTGATCCAAGTTCAACCCAGTTTGACTGATTTTAACCAATTTTGACTAAATTTGACTTTATTTGATCAGGTTTGACCAAAGTTGACATTTGGATATTTTAGTCAAATTAATTCTAAATTTGATTTCAAAAATTTATCAAAGTTAAAAATATATATATTAGATTTAAACTAGATCAGATTTTAAAAGCCTTACAATTGATTGAATTCTGTCAGACAAAATTAGGTTTCTACATAGATTCATTGTGGTTTTGCCATTTGTGAGCTGTTTAGCTCGTGTTATTTATTCCATATGGATGTTCTTTAATTTTTACATTTTGTTCATCAATAAAAATCTTTCTTGCATTTCAAAATAAAAAAGAAAAGAAAAAACTGTTGGAACATTTTATACTTGATGATGAATTTAGAGAAGTATAAATATTCATAATTCTAAGGTTAAGTTGAGGTATGGAACAAGAGGCATTTGGCCTATGTTATTGTTCATAATATGAAAGTTTACTTGATGAAATAAAACAGTTGAAAGATTCACATTCTGGCCTTTCCTGTGCCTTTATGTAATGTGGTGCAATATGGCCATTGCAATGACAGAAGTCGGAGCGTACTAGCCATTGCGGAAATCATTTCCATTTTCGGCTTGACCTTCCTCCGAAACTCTTGTGGTTTTTCACAATTTTTTTTTCCTTTTTGGCTTTCTCTGAGCGTTGCATTGTATTTTAGATCTGTTGGGAATTTATTTCGTGTATATATATAGGCCAAGACACTTTCGACTTTATTTCATATATCATAAACTCTGTATGCATCATTTTACTATCTTTATTAAATATGTGTCATTTTATTAATTTTATTGATAAAGTTTAAAATTTTTATTGAAGGTAAATGAGATAATTTTTCATGTATATATAATTTACTGATCGTACTTACATATAATCCAAAGCTTTACTTATGTTTAGACAAATTAAGGAAACGATATTATGGAGTTTGCTTTATATGTAATATGTAAAAAAAAAAAAAAAAAAGTAGGAGGCTGTTTTCTAGTTAAGAAGGTTTAAAGCAACAGGAAAACGTATAATTTTCTTGTTCTGACTGGCAGAAAAGATGATTGAAGCCTAGAAAGTGACGAACCGTTGAGAATGAAGTACGGGTTATATGTGGTTGCTAAATTATTTGTTTCAAGAATAGTACAGGCTTTGTCCTTGGATCCTTCAATTACCCGGTGAGTCCGATGCAAGTAAACACTTTTTTGACTCAGAGTCTCAAAATTTACAATCCAACAAGGCTTAACTGGGAGAGTTCCCGGTTTAGATCCCGATGAGATGTTGGTTCCACTGGTCTGTTTCCAATCATAATTTTGATGATTCCAGGGTAGGCTACACCAATATGACAACCCATATCCTTATTCTTAATTTATATATATTTTTATATTTTGTGCGGGAATGATTAAGAGTTTAGTTTAGCATTATGGTTATAATTAAAAATTTTAATTAAAAAAGTATGCAAGAAAAATGCGATAAAAAATATGATTAAAAATTTTGAATGTTCCATTGAGAAAAATTTTGAATAATTTAAATATTTCGAAAGATATTTATAAAATAGGAAAATATAAAAAAAAAATGTAAAGATAATATAATGGCTTTTTTCATCACAAAAATATCTCTTGCGAAGTTTTTGCTTTGAATTTATAAATCATGTTTTTAAACAGAAAAATCATATTTTGTTTTTTTGGTTTAACATTAAGATTGAATGAAACAGACTTTTGAACGTAAAAATTACTTTCAACATCAATGCTAACCTATATCAGAATCATCTCTAAAGATTTCTGTTAGCCATGATAAGATGGATATGTGGTGAACAACTGAACATGTCAAGCAAGAACACAGGCCAGCCTGTCTTACATTGAATGTGTGGTGACTTTGAAAATAACCAATTCTTCTACAAACTCCATCATCATGTTCACTTGATCATTAAATTCTATGGAGAAATAACTTTTTCTTGAATCCCATCACGTTATTTATCTCATATATTCGTCTTAAATTCTAATTAAAACATGAATTTCTTAAAATATTATGTAAGATTAAAAGTAGCCTGCATATCTTGTTGCTATATAAAACTATGACAGAATATTTGATATGAGATGATTTATTTAAAAATCATGACTATTTACATTCAATAATTATATTATCTTGTTTGATATTAATTTAGAAATTAATCTCAGTTGAATATAATCTCAAGACACAAATGTAGATTCTGGAAGTCGCTTTTGTCTGAGTGGGAAAGAAAAAATGCTTCTTTTGTCTTTTGCAGGCTTAAAAGATGAACTCATGGTTTTCTATTAAGAATGAATGATTTCAGTGTTTAAACAACGAGGAAAAAAAGAAGGTCATTTAACTACAAAGAGGTTTCGTTTTCCCAGGCCAAAAGTCTTTCTAGTGGGTCTGAAACCTCGCTGGTAATGAAAACTTTCCATGTCATTCAAATAGCATACAGCTCTTAGGCAGCCTGGAATCAATTGGGCGTCATCTAAATAGACTCTTTTGAAACACATTTCTAGCTTAATAAGGCGATGATGGGAGACGTAATCTACCCTTTCTCTTCTTTGATTCATATCCCCATGTGTAATGCCACCTAAAATCACTACTAAAAACTAGCAAACCACTATATCTATAATAGAATAATGCCAGGAGGCCCCCCACCTATAAAAATAGTGATTCCCCTTGGGATCCCTTGGCAATGGCACTGTACACTATCTGTGAAGGGCACTTTTCATGATAGCAACGTTGTCCAGTTGTCCTATTCTTTCATGTATACTTAGAATTTTTTATTAACCACTATCTTAGTTGCTTCCCAACCCGGCTGCCTAATCTTATCGTATTCTATTCAGAGTTTGATCATTTTAGCAGCTTAATGGACGTGATGAACAAGGCCCTTTTTTTTTTTTGTAATTTTTAGAGTCTAATGGGCAAGGAAATTGATTTTAATGAAATTAAAAATAACAGTAAAAATAAAATTTATCAGTATTATAGTGAGACTAAAATCAGTTATAAGATATATTTTTAGATGCAAAAATAATTATAATGGTGAGATAAATATAGTGAGAAGATAAGATGACTATTAAAGATATTGATTAAAATTTATATGTAATAAAAATTTTAAATTATTTAATATTTATAAAATTAACACATAATTAAAAAATATTAAATTATTTTATATTAAGTAATAGTTTTGTTAATAAATAATTAAAATTTATTTATTAGTTATTATATAATAGTAAAATTTATTTGTTGTATAATAAAATTTATTTTATATTAAATTAATAAATTTAGTTTATAATTTTTAAATAAAAATCAAAATGAAAAAATAAAAATTAAAGTGTAAAAGTGCTAACTAATTTATTGAAGGAGAAAAAGGGAAAATAAAATTTAAAACAAGCGTGGTGGGTGACTGAAACCTCTAATCTCCAATGAGGAATCGGCGTAAAACACACTGAACCTTAATGTTGTTTGAATTTAAAAGTTATAAATGACACAAAATTTTATAACAATTGTAGCCTATCGGAGGGTGCGTTTACATCAAAACGAAACATTAATCTACCATTAAACCCTTAACCTTCTATTTATTTGGCTGAAGAATACATTACTCAACCATGGCTTATCTTAAACATATATACTTACTATATATAAGGAGCTCCTGATTGGGTTCGAAATCCTACAAATTTTTGTTTAATCGATTCTATGACTTTCTGATGGGAAAAATAGGGACCTGTGGTAGTATTGACCAGCAATACCCGCATGATCTAGTCACAGCTAAGTAGACAAGACCACGTGTGTAGGACCTCCGTAGACTCTACTTCCTTGTATTTCCTTTTTTTTGAGAGAGAGATTATACGTCATTTGAATCTGTTATTTAATCCTTTCCCCCTCCCTTCTCATTAGCAGATCCCCAGAAACACATCCCAGCTGAGAAGAGAGAGAGATAGAGAGAGCCTAGACTTTTAAATATGAGATCATGCCCCTTAAATTGTACAGCGGTATGTTCTATGCCTGTGCTCTCCGAGCATTCTCAGTGTCTTTGTCTCTTATCTGATCAAAGACTCAAAACTTTGCTATTCCTTTTTGTAGGTGAAACAGCAGTTCAGGACATGTTCTAGAATAACCAAAGACGTTAATCAAATGTCCAGAGGTTATCCTTGCCAATCAATATTACCAGGGATATTGCCAGATTATGATCCGAACGACAATGAAGCTGGCATGAAGATTCTGGAGGACCTGACAGAAAATGTTTACCAAATACAGCAGCGGGTATTGGAGGAGATAATAACACGAAATGCACATACAGAATACCTTGAGGGCTTCCTCAATGGACAGTATGAAAAGGAACTTTTCGAAAGGAAAGTTCCTGTGGTGAATTATGAAGATATCAAACCTTATATTGAGCGAATTGCCAATGGTGAATCATCAAACATCATTTCTGCTGAACCAATAACTGAGTTGCTCACAAGGTATACAAGTCTTTTTTTTTTTTTTAGATTAAATAAGTGTAAGAATCTATATCATATACTTGAGTAATTTTCCTTGAATTCTTCATGGATGAAATTTATCTGTTTCCGATGCAGCTCTGGCACTTCGGGTGGGCAGCCAAAGATGATGCCTTCAACTGCTGAAGACTTGCACAGAAAGACATTCTTTTATAATCTGCTTGTCCCTGTGATGAACAAGTAAGAAGCTTACCTCCAATTCTGTTCTTGTTTTTCTTTTCTTTTCTCTTCTTTTTTTGACATAATTTTCATGTTAATTTCAGTTTAAACCTTTAACAACAAAAAGAAGCTTAGATCCAATTCTGTTTCTGTTTTTCTTTTTTTTTTTTCCCCATAAAAGATCATAATGGACTTTTTGAACTTTTTCTAATTTTCAGTAAAATCCAGGCCACTAAACAGTTCTTACTTGACTACTTGTTAAATTGCAGGTATGTAGACGGCTTGGACGAAGGAAAAGGAATGTATCTTTTGTTCGTTAAGCCAGAGATTGAAACTCCCTCTGGTCTAATGGCAAGGCCTGTCCTAACAAGCTACTATAAGAGCAATAACTTCAAGAATCGACCTTTGAACCGCTTCAATGTTTACACCAGTCCTGATGAGACAATCTTGTGTTCTGACAGCAAGCAGAGCTTGTATTGCCAATTACTTTGCGGTTTAGTACAACGAGAAGAGGTTCTAAGAGTTGGTGCAGTTTTCGCCTCTGCTTTCTTACGGTCCATCAAATTCTTGGAAGATTATTGGAAAGAGCTCTGCTCTAACATTAGAAAGGGTCATGTCAGTGACTGGATCACTGACTCCAGTTGCAGAAAAGTTGTGTCATTAATCCTAAGCAGACCTAATTCAGAATTAGCCGACTTGATTGAACATGAATGCAGCACTAAATCATGGGAAGGGATAATTAAGAAGCTCTGGCCTCGAACAAAATACATAGAAGTTATTGTTACAGGTTCCATGGCACAATATATACCTACTCTTGAATTCTACAGTGGAGGGCTACCTTTGGTTTCTACAATGTATGCTTCTTCAGAATGTTACTTTGGAATTAATTTCAAACCACTGAACAAGCCTTCCGATGTCTCTTACACCCTTGTCCCGAACATGGCCTACTTTGAGTTCTTACCGGTGAAGAAAAACCTTGCAGATGCAACTCAAGATGTCCAGTGCAATGGTGTTTGCAAAGAAAACTGCATGGAAGAAGAGACTGAAAAGGAAGCTGTTGAAACTGTTGATCTCGTGGATGTAAAGCTTGGCCAGTATTATGAACTCGTCGTCACAACTTTTACAGGTAATGATTTTTTCCCCTGATAGGATTTACGTTCTTGTCACATGTTTCTTTCATATATAATTTTTCTTTGTTTTAATATGAAAAGAAATTGAAATTTTTACCAACTCCAAATGGAAATTGCATGTCTATGACAATCAATTGTTTTTTGTTTTTTTATATATTTTTTACCTTGTTTCTCACCCAATTTTGCCAGGCCTGTATAGATATAGAGTTGGAGACATTCTCATGGTAACTGGATTCTACAATAATGCTCCTCAATTTCGATTTATGCATAGGCGGAATGTGGTATTAAGCATTGACACGGACAAAACCAATGAGGAAGACCTATTAAAGGCAGTGACAAAGGCAAAGCACCTCGTTGAGTTGCTTGGCTTCCTCTTGATCGAGTACACTAGCTATGCCGACACTTCCTCCATACCAGGTCATTATGTACTATTCTGGGAGCTCACAAATAAAGGGAGTAATGATCTGCTTGTACTTGATCCAAAGATAATGGAGGAGTGCTGCTCCACGGTGGAAGAATCACTTGATTCTGTTTATAGAAGATGTAGGAGAAAGGACAATTCAATTGGACCATTAGAGATAAGAGTGGTAAAAGATGGAACATTTGATGCACTCATGGATTTTTGTGTATCTCAGGGATCTTCAGTTAACCAATATAAGACACCAAGGTGCATCAAATCTGAGGAGGCCATAAATATATTAGATTCTAGGGTGGTAGGAAGGTTTTTCAGCCAAAATGCTCCTTCTTGGGAGCCGTTTTAAAGTGGAAACTGAACAAAAAGAGAATAGGAAGTTGCATTTTCCCAGGTTAATTTCCTGAAATCTATAAAAGAATTTGTATTGTAGAAGTTCTTTTGTCTTTTTTTTTTTTCCTCGCAGTGCCTGCTTGTTCTGTATTAAAATTAAACCACCACAACACTACCTGTTTTTGTACGACTGCAATCCTCTCTGTCTTGTCCAAAATCGAAGATAATTTCTCTTCTAATGCTGGCATGCTAAAAGGATTAATTAGAAACCGTGGAATCATAATAAATGCTTTAATTAGATACCAGGGAACCATAATAAATGCTTATATTAATCATGTAGATGGGGAATAATCACAATTTTCAGCCATTAAATCAGATGGCTCAAAGGCAGCTTTGATTTTGAACTGTCAACTTTTGCAATGGCTTTCGAAATCTATCGTTTTCTGGCGAGTAATTTACAATGAAAATCATACGAGGAGATTTAAATATGATAGCTATGATACTATGCAAAAACTCAAAAACATGATAAAGCTAGCATGCACCAACACGAGGATGATGAAAGTCAGAAAGGTATTGTGGTTGAGACTTGAGACCTGAGACCTGAGACCTGAGGAGAATATAGATCAGGGAAGAACCGCAGAAGGCAAAATATAGAAGTTGCAAGCAATAGGATAACGAATTTAATTTCAATTATATAGGATGGCTCGTTAGAGTTCATTACTTCATGTAGATCCCGTGCGTTACTTGGTGTTTCTTTGTCGAATTATTTTAATATTGAAATGTAAGAAAACAAGTTAAAAGTACAACGACAAATCATAATTTCTAAATTGATAACATAAGCAACTACGTTCAAATAAATATTATAATAAGAAAAAGTTTGGTATACTACCAACTTTTAGTTTACCTTGTCCTTTTTTTTTTTTCTTCATGGAATAATCTGAAGGTAATGTAATTTGTGATGTTGAATCAGGCAAATTATTATCAGCATGATTTGATTATGTGTATATTTATTATTTAATAAATATGTTAAACCTTAAATTACATTAAACATTAAGTACATTTATCCACAATTAATTAAATTTATAAAAAATATAACACCTGCAGAAATAGTGACATACGCTTAAACTCTATTTCGTCGACGTTTTTGATGACAACAGGGTATATTTTGGAGTCACTACTAAATACATGCATACAACAGTTGATAAAAATAAATCATTCTCCAACAACTATTATTGCATTAAAACATAAGAATAGAGTCCAATGAAGAACGTTTCACCAAAGATAGAATCAGGCCTAGGGGTATAAACAATAATTTTCTTTTTCATTTCACTTCTATCACTGTCAATAACACAAAATTCCACTTCAACGCTCTCTGACTTCCCCATCCAGTTCCTGGCATATCTTTGAAACTTTTAGGCCAATCAATTTCATCGAAATATTCAAGAACACTATTAGCATAAGCAATAATCTTCAGCATCCATTAGCGCATTGGTTGCTTGGTAATAAACAATGAGACTGTAAACTTATAGAACATTTATCACAAAAACTGAAAATAAGAGAAGTACTTGTTAAAATGGATTAACCATCACACAAATTATTAAACTAAAATACCTTTCTGGTAACAAAATGTCCTCCACGCTCACTCACACCATCCACAACCTCATCATTTGCAAGGACAAAAACAAGAGTTAGACACCAACTAACTGATACTTCAGCTTAAACACAAAATTAGACCAACTATCAGACCGAGTTTTGATAAGGATGTACAGAATTAATAATAGAAATAATGAGCATAGAATTAATCATAAACCAAATTTGATAGGCCAATCCTCTGTTTAACAATTGAAGAAAGATCCATTGGGTGCATTTATAGTACTCCGGTTCAATGGTGGATATTTCACGATCCCAAACATACAAGAAACCTATTGATTTAAGATGCAAGTCAATGATTAGTGTACGAGGCCGTTTATGCTATCCACAAAGACAATTTCTAAAAGCAATCAATCATTCATGTAAAATATGTGATTTACCCGTTTCAAAGTATGATGACTTCGAGATTGAAAGAAATGATACTGGTCAAAAAATTCAAAGGAAAGTTCACATTAGTAGATACCATAGAGAAGTTTAATATGCATTTTATGGAAAATATTTATATGCTTGGGAAAATTTAAATTAACAAAGCCACCCAACTTTTATAAGATACAATTTTAAAAGGGATTCTTTTAGCAGTGTAATTAAGTTGAGCAAATCCATACAAACAAATGTATACTTCTGAGATTTTAATAAATTAAACATATAGTTGATAAACTAAATGAGGTTTTATTTTTTTTTTCTAAAGCACAAGGGTGGGGGATGGGTTGACTCGAAACTAAGCCTTACGTAGCTCTTCTCGAAACTGAGCCTTCCGTAGCTCTTTAACCACTAGGCCAGGTCAGTAGGGACCTAATTGAGATTTTATTGAACAATAATAACAAAGAATTCAAAATGCTTAGAATTGTAAAAAATCTACCTGTAATGCAATTTTTTAGCGTGAAACCCTCTCCGAGAGAAAGGGGTGAAACGAAAACTAAGAAATCCCAAAATGCAAAAAAAAAAAATCCTAAATCAAATAGATTTTCGGCAATAACTTGTGGTTTAATTATAAACTGAATTAGGTTTTATTGAACAATAATAAATAAATAAAAAATTTCTAAGCTGTAAGTAATCAACCTATAATGCAATCTTGGGTGTGAAATCCTCTCCATAAAAAAAGGAGTGAACAAAAGCTAAAAAATCCGAAAATAGAATAAAAATATAAATTAAATAGATTTGCGGCAATAACTTTTCGTTAACTAATTCATTTTTTTGGAAAATACAAACATAATCAAATATAAGGAGTTTTTTCGTAAAACATGATGATAAGATCGAATTGATAATAAATGGAAAGGGAATGAAATGGGCCACATGTCTACTGAGATTACTGGTTGAAGTTTCAGCTCTTTTAAAGTTGTCCACATTCGGTGGATTCTTCATCTTCTCTTCAAAATCAGAGAATTTTTCAGTCTACTTGAAATTATTGAAAGAGATGAAATGGCCGTTTTAGTTGCTTGAAATTATTGTAGGAAATGAAAGGGCAACGGGGGTTTCTTCAAATGGAACGATGAATGGTAGTCTTCAATAATAGAGGTGTAGATGATATATTAATATTCATAAACTATTTAAATTCAATTTAAATAAAATTTGAATTCAACTCAATAATTATCAAGTTAAGCTCGAACTCGAATAACTCGACTTATCGATCGAATCAAGTTCGAGCATTCTTATATCCAGCTCAAATAACTCATAAGCCTAATTAAGTTTTTATATTTTAATATAATTTTATTTATTTTAATTAATAAAATATCTCAAACTCGAATTCGAATTTGAGTATAAATAATCGAGCTTTTATCAAATATAAAAAATTGAGCTTATTTTTATATGTTAATCGAGCTTAATTAAGCGAGTTTAAATAATTCAATTTCTATCTCGAGTCGAGTTAGAGCTAAAAAAATAAATTTTGATCAAGTTCGAATCGAATTTCAAGCTTCAAATTTGAAATTAGATTTAAGTTTGAGTTTAATACTATATTGACTCGAACTCGATCGATTATTCCTTTATTCAAAGGGATGGAGCATATGTGACAATATCCACTTATTACAATTCTAGTTAACATTCCAACTAATGAGGAATAATATATATATATATATATATATATACACACTAATGTTGTATATATCCCATTTCACTTGGAATTGGATGAGATCAATAATTTTGCTATAATATATTATAAAGATAGAATTAAAGATATTTAAATGCATTATATTTGTATTTATATATCAAATAAAAAATTGGAAGTTATACATATAAAAAAAAATTACAATTTAGTGATAGATTAAAAGCTAATATTATAATTTTGTTTTATGGACCAAATAAAACAAAAGCATGAAACAAACCCATATACAAAAACAAACTCCCTCAAACAAAATCCAACTAAAAAAGCAAATCCCATTTTTTCACACCCAAAAACTCATCAAACCTAAAAAAAAAAAATGGACAGCTATTATGTGTAAAAAACTTATACAATTACAAACTTTTTGAAAATCCAACCTCTAAAACATCCCACATTTTCTCACACATCAAAGCCCACTAAACCCAAAAAAATAATAATTGTCATGTGTAAAAGGCTTAGCCTATGCCCTCACATCCTCAAGCTCACTAAATTTAGTAAAGAAAAAAAAAAAAAAAAGACAATTTCATAGATAATAGTATAGATATAAATATATAGATTCTGAACCAATACAAAGCAATGCAAGCTTCTAAAAGCCAATAAAAAATACTTTAAAAAAACATAAATAGACAGATGTCAACTATAGGATCCTTTAGGGATCCTTTTAATATATAGTGTATAGATATGTAAAAGTTAGATAGGTCATGATCAGTGGGTTTTTATTGAATAAAATTACGTAGCTGACAGTCAAGAAAATGGATCGCATTAATAATCCGTCATTCTAATATATAGCTATGAGAAAGCGAAGATAAAACCAAGCAGAGAAATATTAATGGCATCAAATTCTATGAAAGTGATCAATCAAGGTGCTTTCCCAGGCTGTGTCCTGCCGGAGGCAAGCATTCTAAAAATTCATGGACAACCACAGCGCTCATTCAATCCTGTAGATATGTTTCGCTTATTCAATGGATAGCAGGGGCCAACTATTCGTTCGCCATGGCATAAGCAAATTACTCAAGTCAGGTATGATACTTCCAGACCTCTTCGGCGGAGAGATGAGTAAGACATGGACATATTGGCATTATTATCTTTTAAGATGTAACCATTTTATAGCAATGCAGCTATGAAGCGCAGACACAAATACTCAATCTGTATATAACATGATATGAATATAGATATAAATACAATGATGCAATAATATTTTTTTAAAATATGGTTATGACACGATAATAAAAAATATTTTTACATATTATAACCATCAGTTAAAAATA